TACCTCTCGCTGCCGTTGCGCGGCGTTCGGGTCACCCCCGCCAACATCTTCTGCGCTGACCAGTACCTGAAGGTGGGGCGGCCGCGCACCGCGCCCTCCCTTGTCTCACGGGCCTTCTGTCGTGCAGTATCGCCGCCCGTGGGCCCGTGGCTTGGCGTTACGTTAGAGCGCTGTTAAAAAGCACACGCTTAATATACCGTGGCGGTGCTGTCAAGTTTACGATCTTTTATAATATTTAGTCTATAATCTCCCTCTGTATGCTGCAGGCCGTTAAGTACCTATCCCACTAGAGACAATGGCGTTACCACTGTTGGTTCTTCTCCGTACTAATGCTCTTGCTACTCAATAGGTTCCAGCTGCCTCTTCTCTCGTAAATGGCCTGAATTATACACATCTTCTTATATTACGACTAATAATTCTAAATTTGAGGTCCACGGCTTCTGTTGCAGTGTTGAGGAACCAACTTTTTCAATCTCTTTTAACTGGTTAATAACATATGTAACCTCTATACTGGATACTAAGCAAATTAGTTTTGTCAATAGCATGTGTTTCTTGAGGTTTACTGTATGCTTGTAAGATGTATTTTGAATATGTGACAATTAAAATTAAATCGTAAATACTAGTACAGATTAATTATATTTTTATAGGTAAGCATCCCTCCCTTTTTATTTGAAGCCATTTTATATGCTCCTATTGACGACACAAATAGCACAGCAAAGATTGGAAATGGAATCATTTTCTTCACTTTGTATAAAAAAGAAGTGGCCATGTGGGATTCCCTAACTCTAGCAACTGGTAAGTTCTCTACTGTGAAAAGTAGGTTGCATGTAAGAAACTGACACCGTGCAAGAACTTTACAACTATAATAAGCAATGCGAAACTTCGGCTGCTAGATATCTGCTAAGTTAAACCTTGTTGTTCATTGTTAGAAACAGAAAGTATATGGAAACAGATAAAGAACATCTACGGGCTCTAGTGTGCACAAAACAAAACAATGTTGCTTGTAAAACTTCCATTTGGTGTGTAAGCAAATCTCAGTTTTTCTTTTTTAGAGATGGGCTTGATAGAGACTGCTTTGTGGAATTTGAATGATGTTGCATTTTCCCAGACAAAGTAGCAAAAGGAATCCTGTTTTATGAATATGGTACATAACAGTAGAACTTCAGGCCTAAATTACTAAAATAGTTTTTATTTGTTTTTTTAAGCTAATAAGGAGAAACTGCAATATCTAAGAGAGAATGCTGTTCTAAAAGCCCATGAAAAGGCGAAAGAGGAGACCAAAGCAAAAAAAGTTACAAAACAGGAACACAAAAAATATGCTTTGGAGGCCACAATGAAGGTGAGCTTAGAAGGAACTCTACAAGAGATATACATGTAAACAATTACCAACTAATCTGACAGCTGCTTGGTTAAATGTACCTTAAAAATATGAAAAGTACTCGTTTTTATTACAGTGGTGGAGAACCTTGGTATTTCTTTGTACTTAAAATATATCTATTACCAAATATGAAAATGATACAGAAAAAATACTTAGAAGTTGCCATTTTCCACTAGTAATACCAATGAAAATTTTTGGTGAGGAGCTTGGATTTTCGTCAGTTGAAAGGAGACTACAGTAATGTGTCAAAACTGTAATTTTTTGTGGCCTTTGCATCAGTGCAAGTGGTTTAGTCATTTAGCACTGTCAAAAATACTGATTTTTTTTTTTAATCTTGTTTATTCGTTGTTATATCAGACTTGCTGTTCATTGCCTTTTGTGTGTGTGTATCTTTGTCATTCTGTGTTTTATGTGTATTTTAAGATACGTTCTTTTCTTCAAAATTTTTATCTATATAAAAAGTCTGGTCACTTGTGTTTAAAAGGATTTTTTAAAGCATACAATGAAATTTTAAGATTGCATATGCAATTTGGACCAAAATGAACCACAGTTAGTGACTTTCTTAGTAGCAACGTTGTACCTATTCTGCCTATGTACTAATCTCAAGGAGAAGAGGAGAATTAAGAAATAGTGTATTAAAATGAAGCCATATATTTTACATTTCTGTATATTCCGGAGATCTGCATTGGAATATGGCTAGGATTTTCATTGTTTACAAGTATAACTTATTTCTGAATGTTTTTGGATCATACCTTAGTAGTGGTAGTAAAATCGTTAAAAGATATGACTTTTAAAAGCTAATCAGAAATCTTTACTCTCCCAATCATTTTTAAGCATCTTTCATAACTCTGCTTGTACGATCACATTAATGATGACGCTATGCTTGGGATATGAAACTGGGAAAATAATGGTGACTTCTACTTAGTCATCTTACTTTTACCAGATGTTACATATCTCATAGGCTTATCATTCGAACAGCTAGAAGAAGCAGAAAGAAAAAGAATTGAAGATCTGAAAGAAAAGGAGCGGCAGAAGGTCACTAAGGAGTTGGCGTTATGGAAAAAACAGCAAAAAGATGCTGAGAAACAAAAGAGGGTACAAAAAGAAGGGGAACTACATCAAGAAGTAGAGCAATTAAAGGAGGAGAAAAAGGAAAAAATGAACAAAACTAGAATTCCTAATGAAGGAACTTCTAAGACCAGACTCAAACCTACTAAAGGTTGTATTATTGAAGTGTATTTTATCATTCTTTAAAGTGTGGGTATAACTTTATTCCTAGATGTTTCTAATTCATCATTTATCTTTGTCTCTACCATACTGAACTAATTCTTTCAGTTTGCAGTTATTTTAGTGTCTTTTTGTTCAGGCAAGCTATTGAGCTAAAGCATGTGAGTTCTTAGCTCTTGTTTTAAGTCTTTGGAAATACAAAGACAGGTTTTGTTCTAATCTTTAGAAAAGTAAAACAGAAAGCCTTTCAGACAGTGTAATGCAGACTTTCTGAGGGTGGAGTTCATGTTACCCTAAGTTACCTAACTGCTGGTTTTCATAGAAATAGGCAATCTCCTTTCACTCTGTCTTATCCCACGTCTTGGCCCCACAGCGAGCCAATTCAGGGAACTAAAACAACAGAAAATATTTCATTTATGTTTTGTTTGTTTGTTTTGGTAAGGTTAGTTTTAGCTCTTGTAGTTGCCCTGTCAGAGAATCATAGAAGTGACAGTGGTGTAAGAGGAATTAAGTTCATTTGTGACAGATAGTGTAGCCAGTAAATAGATGGCATGATACAACAAGAACAAACATTTTTTTGAACCTTCCTTTCCAAAGAACAAGTCTAAACCTTTCTCAAGCTATTGGAGGTTTAGTTCTCACGTGCAGAATTTCTAAATTAGGTGTACTTTGGACTTTAGTAGAAAATCAGAAAAATTCCTTTTGCTTCATTTTTCATTTCCAGTACTCCAATTCTCTTCATAGGTCATGGTTCCTATAGTATGTTTTCAGAAAATTTAAAGGAAGAACAGTTACCAGCTCCTCGGTCTGCTGCTACAATTAAAATCAACTTTACATCACGAGTTTTTCCTACAGCTCTGCGAGAATCTCGCATCGCAGAAGAGGAGGAGGTAAGGCTTGCTCTCTGTTTCAGTATGATGCTTCTGCTGTCTTCCAAGGTGGTGAATTATTTAGCGTTTATTCAGTAAGTTGACAAGAATGTTACCTGTGCAATATTCTTCTCTTCCAAGGAAGGCAGTGTTATTTAAATTAAGACTTAAAGAAACACTTTTATATAAAAATTATTTTCACCAAGCATGTGATTGTGCAGGTTAATAAATAGCATGTTCCTTTTTTTTTTTTGGGGGGGTTTTTTTTTTTGTGGGGGGGGGGGGGGAGGGGGAGGCAGCAATATTAATTTAATTCCTTGAAGTACAAAATTTGAAATGTCTTTACTCTTATATTTAAGATTCGTTAAGTTCTTCCTTCTTAAAAAGAAATTCACAATAAGCCCTTTTGAGCTCTATTGAATGAACACAAAGAGTCATTTTGGAAGTTCCAAAACACACAAGCAAACAAAAATGTATTAGTGATGCAGTAACCTTACTTCTCACATAGTAATAAAATATTTGGGGAAACTTGGCAGTTCTTCATCTCTGACATTACTAAGTATTTCTCTCTGTCCAAAATATGTGGCAAATAGAATTCTTTTGATAGGAGTGAGTGAATAGATGAAAGCAAAATCCTTTTTTGGATTTGAATTTTCCTTCAGAAATAATACTTGCACGTTGTATATTTACAGTGGCTACGTAAACAAGCAGAAGCTCGAAGAACAGTAAGTGCTGATTTGTCTGAGGTGGAAGATTTAAAAGAAGAGGAGAAGAATCCAGACTGGTTAAAGGACAAAGGAAAGTAAGTTAGATTCCATTTGAAGATGTATTTAAAATGAAATATTAGTTATACAGTGTGTGTCTATTGTTTAGTTTTGATATTTTCTATTTATCCTAGACAGAGATGGTGAACGTCTACATAGTGGAGAATTTCTTGACAGCTTATGGGGTTTTAATCTGATAAAGTCATGAGATGCAATTGCTGAAGCTCATGATGAACGAAATAATTGTGAACACATAATGCGTATTATTCTATGAGGACAGTTAAGTCAGTGCAGTATTATACCTAGGTGGATTTCCTTTCATTTGTACTTTTTGTTGAGAGGTTAAACATCTGCCTAGAACAAACTTTAAGAATTTGATAAAAATACTGGTATGTTTATATAGCTGTGTTGTGCAGAAAGGTTTGATTAGGCAATCATAATCAGATACATAGCTTTCGAAATTAGTCCTGTGTCTGCAAAGATGTCTCCACCTCTTACTGTTCTTCACTGCTTTTAAGCAGTGACTATTTTTGTTGAGTTATATATCTATATGCTATACTGTCAGCATCAAGTTTGACTGAACTTCAGCGATGTTGTTCTCAGGAAAGGCTATAAATGGCCATTTCCAAGGAAAAGCTGCTAAAACTTCAATTTTTTGAAAATTAATTGTTAACAATAAGTAGGTGTTTATTTTGTGATGTATCACCTCGTTTAAAGTGCATGTTTCACTTTTTGTTTTATACTTAGCAAAATGTTTGCAACGGGAAACTACCTTGCAGCTGTTAATGCGTATAACCTCGCAGTGCGGCTAAACAATAAGCTTCCCCTACTGTATCTGAATCGTGCTGCTTGCCACCTTAAACTGAGAAATTTACATAAAGCTATTGAAGATTCCTCTAAGGTATAAATATATAGGTTCTCAGACTGTTGTCTTATACATGATTGTGATTTATTACTGTGATGTTTCAAGCAGATCTATAAATACTTATTAGTGCGATTCAAAATTTTTAAATTCAAACTTGATATAATGAAGCCATGGTGAAATATTAAAATTTGATAGTGATTGATTAATGAACTTTCAGAAATTTAAAACAAAACAACAACAAAAAAAACCCCAAACCATGCTTCCACACATTTGGGCCGAATGGCCATATGTTGACTCAGTACATGTTTCTTTACAGGTAAAATATTGTAGCAATATATACACTTGAAAAAAAAGGCACCTTTGAGCAGAAAAAAATGAAAATATACACAGACACCTTTGGTATTATGTTGTGGTGTTCTTAATTTGTTGGGAAGAAAAAAAAAAGGTGGTGGTGATGAGGAGGATACCTTAAAAAAACCCCAACAAACCAGACATTTTTAAAGAAGGGCTGTATCATCTCGATGTTTTAGCAGCCATTATTTGTGCAATGAGAGGAGTGATCTCAAATGGCACCTGAATTATTTGGAGAAAGTTGTCCCAGAATTATTATTTTTTGAACTAATAAGTACTTGAGGCTTGAAATTTGTTTTTTCTAGTAAATACTGCTACAACACGTGCTTTTTTAGGGCTGAACTTTTTTTTTTTTTTTGGTAGCATGGTATGTAATTTCATGTATGACAATAGAATACATTATTTGACTGTAATAAACATTTAACACAGTATTTGTCATTTTTTAGCCATGACAATGAAGCTGTATTTAGCAAACTGTGGGGTGATATATACAAACCTTAATGACTAGATTCACAAGCCATATAGTTAAATTTGAATAGTTATTTTCTATTTCTGTTTGACTAGTTATTTTGTTACTGTATAATAATAGTAATTAGGTGACAGAAGTGTGTGTAAATCAGAAAAAAACCCAAATTATGGAAAATCTGCCTCTAAATATTTTGGGTGTTTTCATTTGTAAAGGCACTAGAACTGCTGACACCACCCGTTCCTCATAACGAGCATGCTCGAGTAAAAGCATATGTGAGACGTGGAACAGCGTTTTGTCAGCTGGAATTATATACTGAAGGTGAGACCTTGATATTTTGAAAACATGCACATGGATTTATAGTGACATGCAAGTAATTCTGTTTAGCTCAGTGAGACTGCTCGCACCTTCATTTTTTCAGGAGGGACGTTAAAGCAGGCCTATACAATCTATGTCTCTTTTTGTTATGAACCTTTATACAACAGTCCTTTTTTTTTTTTTAATTTTTTATTTACTGGCTAATTGCAATTCCACTTGAAAAATCTTTACAAGTTTTAAGAAAATTGATTGTACTCCTAATTTAAGGAGTACAAATTAGTTTCTCCATTGAGGAAAAGGCTTCAGCGAGTTGTGTATCCTCTGTTTGGTCTATTGGGTAATCAGTCTTTCTGTGTATAATGGCCAGCTATTGATCATAGCAGCTTGGTGGCCATGGAAGGTATTAGTGAGGAATGAATGAGAGGTCAAAGATGAGGTATTTGCATTGGGAAGTATTCAAATGTAGGATGCAAACTATATGAAACTAGGTTGCACTAGTTTTGCTGTCCATGAAGCAATGTTTTATTGGTTTCGAGATTATATTTACAGTATTTCCAACTATAGAACAAATTAACTTAAAATAACCTGACATATTTCTAAAATATTTGCTTGTGAAGTGCTTAGTAACATATCTTTGTAAAATGATGTATGAAACCCATATTGATGAGCAAAATGTTTCATCCGGTACGTGTGGTCTGTGTGAAAATACCTGAAGTAACAGTGTCCCTACTGAGTTCTCTAAGAGTATCAGTTTCGTTTTGTAAGGCAAATTTACAAGTGAAAGTCGATAATAGAAAGTGAAGAATACTCAAAATGTCAATGTTGGAATACTAAGCTTTTCACATTGGTTACCTTTTTCTACCTATGAATCTCTTTGTCATTCCCTTACAGCTTTATTTGCACTTGGAAACCTTACAAAAAACACAACTAAACAAGATTTTATTTTACTTCCTGTACTCTCGGTTTGCCTTTCCCCCCCCCGCAAGCTCTAGTATTCACAGCTCATGTCTTTTTTTTTCTTGTTTTCATGCACTTTCATTCTGTCATTTAATTTTTCTCTCTTCTGCAAAACACTTTTGAACAGCTCTCTCATGCACGTGCACATATATATATATATGTGAATGAAGAGGCTCTGTTTTCATGTTTCAATACCTGAAAATGTTTATGTAGTAGAGTGTTTCCACTAAAATGTTTTGTAAAATAATGTAAACAAAATATAAATTTATTCACTGACAAAAGTTAAACCTAATGTCACTCTGATTCCATCTTGCTCAATAGCAAAACTGAGGATCAATCCTTTATGCATATTACTAGGGAGCAGTTATTTCCAGTTAGTTGCTAAAGAGAATGCTCTTGCATTATTGATTGACATTCTTATTAACGTATCTATATTAGGTCTCCAGGATTATGAAGCAGCTCTCAAGATTGATCCTAAAAATAAAACTATAGAAAACGATGCTGAGAAGATTCGACACCTAATTCAAGGAACAATGCAAGATTCTTAACAAAAAAAAGGAACTTTTTGAGAGGGATGCCTTTTGAGGGCATCGGAAGGAATCTTAGTTCTCTTCAATATGTTGTTAACTAGACATTTTTCTGTTTCACTCAGAACCCCTACAGAACTGGTAAAAGATTGGATATATGAATTACTGTTTTTGGAAAGTATAGTCTTATAACAAATATGATTAGATCTATTTTACATAATTTTGATACAAAGTTGTCATTTTTGCTCTCTGTGAAATATTGGTGGGCCAAATATTAAAACATGCTTTTGGTACTTGATTTAAAGTTACCCATAACTAAATGAAATACTTGTCTGGAAACATCTACTGAATCTAGACAATGGGTTTTCAGACAACTTCAGTAGCTCCATATAGTCAACACCTGTTAACTTCTTATCTTTCTGTTCTCCACCAAAGCTTGAAACAGTTATGTGTTTTATGGTTATGGTTATATGTTTTCCTCTTTTCTTATTGTTCGTGGTGTTTGGCATATCTGAAACTAAGGCAGTGAATTTAGATCCTCTAATTCAGGCATCCAATTTGGAAAACCTCCACCTGGAAGCATAGAGGTAGATTTTATGTCGTGCAGAACATTCTTTTTAACATTAAGTAATGTACATTGAATGTTTTCAGACTATTTTGAAACATTTATTTGGGCTGAACAAACAAGGTAATTGGAAAAATTATAAACCTGTAGCATGGTATTGTTGTGTGGTGGTAAATTAATCCTGTGGTAAATTGTCCTATTGATGAATATGACTTACTTCTTCCATCCTACTACAATTAGTAATCTTACAGTGTAGCTGTAAAGCATATTCTAAATCTAAAACATTGTTATTTATATGAGAATATATATTTTTCTTGAGCTGGTATTTTAATTTGTACTCTGTTGACATTGACCAGTATCTCAGGAATACTGGTGTGATTAAAGATTGTCAAAAAAGGGGCCATCCTGGTGAGGTTACAGGTGTTGTAAAGTGACATGAAGCACGACACTGTGCTTTGAAGTCCTGCACCTGTTGTTTTGGATAGTGGAAGAATGTAATATAGAATTGTATTGGGTTTTTATATGTGTATATATATATGTGTGTGTGTGTGTGTCAGTATTTGTATTACTGTGACAACCTGAAACACTGGACTTGAAGTGGTTCTGTTTTGTTAGGCATTCTATCCAAATTGTGACCATTTCAACTATGCCTCTTTCAGTAGCAGTTTTAGCAGACTTCTGAATTTTCCACACCAGTCTGTTTCCTGAATACCATTTATGACTGATTTCTGTCTTTAGAAGAAACTATTTATTATGCAGATAGATGTTATTCTGTGTAAATTTTATACTCTTGGAACAGGGAGGAGGTGGCAAGTGTTGCTTCCAGTTGCTTTACTTAGAGCCTTGAGAGGAGTGCTGAGGTGGGTCAGAAATGTCTGGGGTAGCTGCTGTTCCTTCTTTCCTACAGGTACCTACTGCACTGCAGTGGAGGGGGGTGAGAATACTTTATTTATAGCAGTTGGAAGGAGGGCAGTGCAGGAGCTTTAGTGCCTCAGTTGAGTGTAATGGTATACTTGCCAAAATACGGCTATTTTCTGAGGGGCTAAGGAGGAGAGACACTGGCCGTGGGAAAAAGAAAATGCAAAGAGGCAGACGCTGGTGGTAGGTTCCTCATTTTCTGTTTTAGTTCCAGCGCCTGTTAGAACAATCTGTATAGGCTGTTTGTATGGTAGTGATTTGTTACAGCTGCTCAAGGCTATTTTTGATGTAGGCAGGCACCTTTTTCTACTGCTATGAAATAGAAACGGTGCCCTCTTTAAAGGTTAGGGAAGCGAATGTGCTTGGTAGTGTGAACAATATCTGCCTGTTTCATCTTATTTTATTGGGAGCAAATGGATGTTAAACTTCTGACTTCAGTACCTGAGCTGACGGTGCGTATACCATATCAAAGTCATATATGCATTATGTTGGTATTAGTGGCCTGAGATGTAGGAATGTGGAGACTGACTTTTAAGTTTTAAAACCAGAAAATACTTTAATTAAAACAAAGAAACCTTCAGGTCAATGTCTTTTGCACTTAACTCTTTCTATAAAATTAGAGTTCCACATTTATGATACCAGTTTCGACAGTTTTATTTTTATGGGTTTAGGTCTGATTGAGAGAAGTGTATCATCAAATGGGCTACATCCTTTTTGATACATCTTATTCAACCCAGCAAACGCCAAATAAATCAGATATTGACAGTTATTCCCAGAATGACTGAAGTAACAGTCAGATTTGTTTTCTTAAAGCTGTTTGTAGTCTAAGTCTGTGACGAAAAGATGATGATGCATTTTTACAGAGTATGCTGTAAATTGGGGTAGTCATATACCCTACTTCTGTCAATGGCAGTGTTTAAATAACTATCTTGAAACGATCCACAAGTGACTAAGTGTTTTGAAAAGGTTTGATCCACTGGGTGATAAGTACAGGGTACCATCTGTGAGATAGGTGGTATAGCACCATACTCACTTGAAGTTGTTTTAAACAGTAACACCTCAGGCTTTGTCAAAGAACCATTGGTCATGACCGTTTTGGGGTCCAGCATACAGGAAAACACCGGATTGCCAGGATTTGTGCAGAGAGGCAGATGAGGAGATCGGTTTTGCTCAGTGTACGGACTTGAAGGCAGTTTCTTGGCAGAAGTCATCTTCTTTCCTCTAAGAAGATGGATTTTAATTCAGTCTTTCAAATAACAGGGCAAAGCATTTCAAATTTGTTCAATGTTTGCGGTCGGAGCAAATGTTGCTCAAGATGTGTATTGAAATACGTGCGTGGTAGAGAGTGAGGAACTTGACAGTGCTGACTTTAGACCTTATTTAGTAAACTGTGGACAGTGATAAATGCACTCATGTTGACTATGAAGTATAGTAAAATTGGAATTTGCATCAGTTTCTGCATTAGTGATAATCTTGAGCATAGAAAGTGTCTCAATATGTGTAGCGGAAATAATTAGTATGGGTAATAAAAATATGAATGAGAGTAAGAATGTAGTGAGGCTCCGTGGATGGTTTGTTTTCATTTTGGCTTTTCCTTTTCTAATATATAGAAATATGTATGCTAAAGTACAGCCCTAACCAAACCTCCAAATGACTGTACCTCCTTGCTCATGTTCACACGTATGCTTTTTTTTTTCTCTGTCAGGAGCAAATTAACATACGACAGATACTTCTTAGTACATTCATGGAGAGCGCTCTAATGCTTTATTGATGAGCGTGCGGTAAAACTGCACAGAACAGGTACCCCCCTTAGTTTTGCTGAGCAAAACCTGCTGTTCTTCAGAGGTGCAATGAAAGCTTTTTTCCTTGCTTCTCAATCATGTAAGAGATGAAGAAAACATTTAAGTTGCTAGCTTAGATAAAAAGTCAGAAATTCTGACTTTTCCTTTGCTTTGTTTATTAATGAGGCCTGTTTTTGATTCCACTTACTTTTTGCACCAGTATTGGAGCCCTGTTGGGGCCTACATCTCTGGGCGTTAGGATCGACTCTGTACCGTGCCTGTTGACGAGGTGGCACCTCGGTGCGTGGTGGGTGTAGGAGCTGCCTTACCCCCGTCGCCAGCGGCTCCCGGGAAAGGACAGCTTCTCCGGTGTGGCACGGCCGCAGGCGTCTGATTCCAAGGCTGTGCTGTTGGGAAACTTTCCACAGTAGTTAATTCACAATCATTAGAGTTCTTCCACCTGTCCAAGACTAGACGGATCAAATATTTCTAGTCCATATACTGCACCTTCCCCCCCCCGGTCGGGGGAGGGGGGGTGTTCTTTGGTGGGGCGTTTTTGTTTGTTTTTGTTCCGGGGGTTTTGGGTTGGTTGGTTTTTTCCTCCCCGCGGTACAAGCATTATTCAGGTGTGACGGAGCGCGTCCCTTCAGAGCCGGTTGTCCCTTCGCCCGGCTGTCCTGCCATTACATCGGAAAAACGCTCCCCGCGCTGTAGGTGCCCCAGAGCTCCCTCCCCCGGGACAAACGCCGCCACCGGGCGCCCCGCAAGCCCGCCCTGCCC